TTTGAGTTTTTAAACAAAATGTTAGTATATAGGTACCTATCTACCTCACTATAGGCGCAATTTCAACTTTTGGATTGGGGGGGGGGGCTGAATATATTAAAGGCAGCAGACCATGGCAATATAGCATATTCAAATCGTATGTTCTAGGTTTTTGGGAGGCTGCGGCTAAGTTTAAGGGGGGGGGCTTAGCACCCCCAATTTGCGCCTATGTACCTCACACAGTCACGCCTAAATGTGTAGGACGTAGGTACAAATTATAATACCTACAAAGATGTTATACCACTAATCGTCTTAGAACTCTCAACTCAAAGGTCGATATTTGATTTGTATTCATAGAAGGAAAGAAGATCGATTAAAGTTTTTATTACAATTTCTATAAAACTGTTTTTCAAAGCTCAGGAGAGAAAAGTCTCTAGAGCCCAGTCGGTTACCAGATTCACCGACGACTTAAAGCGCTTTCTCAATGATATAAAGGCGGCAGTGATGTTCTACGTTGTGACTGGGGAGCAACAGCACATAATATTATACATGCCTATAATCATGCAAAACAGTAGTTATTATATGAATAGATACCTAAATAGGTACCTATTACCTAGCTAATAAATAATAATAATACTTATTTGTATTGGACGTCCCATGCTGTATATAATCTCAGACGTCAGAAAAAAATGTTATTACATAATCCGGTCTCTAATCAAAAACCATTCTTTTCGATTCTTACATATTATTATCATCATTATAATATTATTATCATATATTCACATCCATAGGCATGTCTATATGTCATAGACCTTCATGGCGGGAAGGCAAAACTTAAAATTACATGATACTTACCTATTTGTTTGTGTTTGGAACTATGAACACATATAACTGGGCAGTTAATTGATATAATAAAATAAACCCAGTGATGGAGGGAGGTTAGGGGTTATATTCTCGCATTGTCTATTTTTTTCCTACCTACAGAAAACCACTTATTAGTTATTACAGCTGTGCTAGTCATTACTTTTTTATTACTTATTAATTTTATTTGTTGGGTCAAAATGTTTTTATTTTTTTATAAGCATTTCATTTCGAATTTTGACAGAATACGTATAAATCACGAAAATGTGCAAATCATTTTCAGTTAGAAGTTCCTAAATATTATTCTTTTCAAACCTAAGACGCGAACATTCTTCTCGTAAGTTTGTATACCTTTAACAAAAAAAAAAAAAATGTCTACTGGAAAGTCAAATTAAATTTTTATGAACATTTTAAGTTGAATTTTTACAATTTTTGACTGACAAATAACCGTAAATACTTGAAAAATGTTTATTTTATCATTTCCTATACTTTGTAAAATTTTCAAAATATTAAGACTTGTTTTGAGCTGTTGACAAACCTTTTCAATTTTAAATTTTTTTAGTTTTATTTAAATTTTTTTATAAATACCAATAACTTCACAGGAAAAACCCTCACGCCCCGTAGAATACTCGGATTTTTTTAATTATTTTTTTTATTTAAAAGGAGAACATTTTTCAGGTCTGAATTTTTATTTTACTTTAAATAGTGGTAGAAAAATACGTTTGAAAAAGAACAAATATTGTGCATTATTCAAATGTAATATTTTAGCTTCTATAATTATAATTTTGAAAATCGGGCTTTAATCTGACCTAAAAAAAGTTCACTTTTATTAAATAAAAAAAAATTAACAAAATCCTACTATTCTATAGGGCACGAGAGTTTTACCTGTAAGGACATATCCATTAAAAATGTTTGAAAATAATTTTTTTGAATTTTGAATTATTATTAATTGAAAATTCATACTTATGCATTTTGTCAGTGAAAAATTATGCAAATGCATTAAGACAGTGGAATTTCATATTATTTTGTTGCACAGATGGCGTGCCTATGGTATTCCTATAACCCCTTATTTTCCCTTTTAGGAGGACCCTAACACCTTGGGGGATAAATTTTTCAAAACCCGTTCTTATAGAGGACATCTCTTACCTATAAGCTACCTAAATACAGCTTCATAGATCAAGTAATTATCAATATTTCATATTTAATCAGAAATACCACTCTCTTTTATATCAAACTAGGACTACTATTCATACATTTTTAAAATAAAAATATTTACATAAATATAATGTAGTTTTTAGTTTTAAATGCATTAAAATTAATTATTAACTATTTCAACTAATTCAAATAACTGTTGACTTATTTCACTGTACGGAATATTAAATAAATATTTATAAAAAGTATCTTGTTTTATCAGTCAAGGGAAATTTGAAATTATTCCACCAAATTGATTCAATAATATTTATAAATTATTTTTTATAGCAATATTTTTAGCCTGCCCTTAATCATTTTAGATGTATTCTCCCTAGGTTTCATTTTGGTATTTTTACCATAATGGCATATTTAACATACATTTTATTCATATTTGTTAATTTTATTGTTTTAACACAAATCAATATTTACAAAACCTAATGAAAATAATCAAATAAAAATTTAAGATTGTAAATTTTATAAATGTTACATATAGATAGATATGATTGCAATATTATAGATATCAAACTTTATATTATGCATTTCCAATCAAATTTTATTAATTATAATTATATGATTGAAGGTTATGCTAAGAGGATATGCGTGTGAAAAAATATGTTTATTAGAAGATATTAGTTTAGACATTTAGTATGGTTGTTTTGACCAGTGCGACTAATAACAGAAACTGGACTAATATAGAAAAAAATATTTTTGAAGAATCAGAAACATAAAACTGCATTTAAAATGATTAAATTATTAACAAGGTTATAAAAATTTTTAATAAAATGAGCTAGCACATTTTTTATTAGTTGTGATCTTTTATTTATAATTTGAAAATTATTCTTCCTTTTAGACGAAATTATAAATTATATATAAATTATTCAGTTATTAACACGTAGACTGCGTATGTCTTTTTGCAGTTTTCACCCAGTTCGTAAGATAAAAGTAAAAACAAAATTATTAAAAAAAAATAAAGACATATGTATACATATTTAAAAACATGCGTTTAATCCACTCTAAATAATAATAAAATAACATTCAGCCGTGAGTAGGGAATTTTAAGCCATTTATTTTAAGAAGGCGCTACACCCGCATGTGTTGTCTCAGTCTTACAAATGTACAACATAGAAAAAACTGTTTTGCGCGGGAAAGAACCGAGAAGGCTACAGTCATAACTAAGAAAAAAGATTTGCACAACTTAAAAAGGAGAACTTTGGCTGTGCAACGCTGTTTTTATTTTTTTGATATCACTTATATGAAAAAAGTTCTTACTGTTTTAAAAACCATTATTGTTTGTGTTATTCAAACTTGAAAAACTTTTTTCACATTAATGATATCGAAAAAAAAACAACGCTGCACAGCAAAAGCTCTCCTTTTTATGTGGTGAAAATCTCGTTTCTTAGTTATGAATTTAGCCTTCTTGGTTCTTTAACGCTCAAAACTTTTTTTTGGTATGTTGTACATTTGTAAGACGGAGACAACATATGCGGGTGTAGCGTTCTCTTAAATGTATATTAGATGCCATATAGCGTCAAAGCATTGCTGAATGATACTTATGACGCCAATTGGCGTCAGTACGCAGTCAACGTGTTATATAATTTAAAACTTTTATCTCATGTTTAATCATTATTCATTACTTATTACCAGGGCTCGTAAGTTCATGCATCTGCATGTTTTTTTTGCTACACAGGAAAACATGCTAACTGAGATACAAATCCGTTTCATAACAATAGTAATAATAATATGAAGTTTGATAGTGCATGTTTTTGCATGTTTTGGGTGTAAAGTCATATTTGGCATATAGTTGATTTATTACAGTCGTTAGTGCATATTATTTCATAAAAATATTTTTTAGACAAATATTTGAAAAGTTTTTTCCGATTTTTGATATCTTGTTCCAATCGTCCAATATCGCATGGTAAATTATAACGGTTTTTTTAAATTTTTTATTGATTAATTATTTAGCTAATTAATAAAAATATCGAAAATCGGGCTTCTTACGATTGTAAAAAAAGTTTTACTCTACAATTTTTATAATAGGTATTTTTACTGTAAGCCACTTCAATAAGCCGTATTACTTGAATTACGAAACCATGGTTTTATGCCATATTTTGTCTACTAGTGTGCCCTCTTAAGTTGGAAAACATAAAAATACACTTATAAAATATATATTACTAAATTATCTCAAAATGAAAAATCTAATATTTAATTCCAAATGTTTTCATTGTTGGTGCATTGTTGGTGCTGAATAAGGGTGTACAAAAATTAGACAAAAATGACTACCTAATTAAAATTTATAAAGATATCAAAGCTATTTGAACTTCACAAGTATTAATTTTATTTTTTATTTTATTAATTTTGACTGTTAAATATATAAAAATAAAAAGGAATAAAATACTTTTAAAATATATGGATTTATTCTAACTTTAAAATTTGGTCATGTTTTTTTTACATAATGCATATTTTGAGTTTATAATTTAAAAATGTGAAGGCATATAAATGCATATTTTCGAACTTTTAAGTGCATATTTTAATGCATATTTTGACAATTTTTAGTGCATGAATGCATGCTTATTTATGCATTTTTTAGTGCATGAAGTTACGAGCCCTGCTTATTACATACGTTTTCTTTATTTAAATTTTTTTTTAGTAACTATTTTATTTTGTGTAAAACATAAATATAAGTATTTATTAAAAATAATAGTTGAATAAAATATGATTATTTACTGATAATATTAGATAATAATATAAATGTTGAAACTTATATTATAATTTATAATACAAAATAACTAAAAAGGTAAATATAAACTAATATAATAATAATTATTATTAAACATCCTTCATCAATTTAACATTTGATTACTAAAAATAAAAATTCAGTCGCCATTTTTAAGACATTTGTTTATTTAAATCTACTGATTATACCATATAATTCAATACATTTGCACTACTATGTATAAAATCACACAATTTTAATCCCAGTGGAAAACTTTTCCTGGAAGAGGCGCTTTTGATGGGCAGCCAGAATCAGGTTTCCTAGAACAATTTATAAAATTATTTATTGTAATATTATATATCCAATATAGACAGTCAAATAATTGTTATTTATTAATTGATTATTACATTTTATATTATAAATTATAAAAATTATAAGCAATAAACATTGTATTAGACTTTTGTTGTTAATCTAAAGTAATAAATAACATCAACTCACAAATAAATGTTAATACTTTAGAAAAAATTGAAATAAATCATTATTTCCAATTTAAACAATCGGAGTCTTAAATAATATATGTGTAAAGAACAGTACTTTTATATTTTAAACATTATATTATAGTTAATTGTTGAAAACATAAAAAAAGAAAGGTAGATAATGTTCTGCTGTATAGTAAGCTACAAGTGAGTCACTGTAATGGATTATTTTAAATTTGAATTCAATGATATATTTTTGTATACAAAAAACCATTCTGAGCGGAGATAGTCTGTCAGTCAGTCAATATTATAATATTTTAAAATTACAACAAAATAATCAAAATAATCAAAATCATTATTCTTTGTTTAAATATCTGATTTAGACTAATTTGAACTTAAAATAAGAATAAAAAAACTCTGTTTATGTAATATTTTTTTAGATTTTGGTGGCTAAATAAACTTCTCATGAAATTGGTTTTTTTAAATTTTCAATCCTTAACTATAAAACTGAAAATTTTAAACTAAAAAACTTTAAATAAAAAAATGTTTGCATAATGCATCTTTAATATTTTTTAACAGTTATTATAAAAACTTATGAGGAACCTTGAATTTAATTTTCAAGCTTATTGATCAAACAAAAATTATTTCATTGATATATATAGAAAAAAAACTAAAAAAAGCTGAAAATTTCAAGTCTATAAATGTACAAATAGCTCAAAAATATTTTAGCGTAAAAATATTTTGAAAGTCTTATGTTTAGCAAAAATGATAAAAAAAACATTAGGTGAAAAATTCAAGTACCTATCTACAAATATTTGTTTTTTTTTTTTTTGTGAAAGGTGGGAAATCTTATGAGAAATCTTGTATTCATTTTCGAAATCTTAGATATGAATAGAAAAATTGTTATGAATTTATTACTTGAAATAGTTTACAAATTATCGTGATTTTGACAAAATTTGTCTTTTATAAAAATGTTTGCTGATTTAAGCTCAACTCTTTTTTTAATTTCCACTAACGAATTTCAAGGAACTTTATATTCAATTTTCAATTTTTTTGATGGAGCAAAATTTTTTTTGTCAATTATAATTATTTAATATAACCGGATAAAATTTATTTTTATGCCTATTTATATAGCTCAAAAAGAGCCACAAAATCAATATTTTGAAAATTTAATGGTGCATAGAAAATGGTAATATTAACATCCGGTGAGAATTTAAAGTATCTACGGTTATTAGATTCTTAAATACATAAAAAGTTAAATCAATTTTGTCAAAAACATTTCAAAAACAAAAATATTTCTGTATTCCCTACACTTTTAAAAACTACTATGAATATTCAAATTTGAGCTCTCAAAAGTACCAACTAAATCCATTTTCTCATCAGAAATGAATAATGATGCAGAAGTTGAAAATAGAAAGCATTATTTCTCCTAGACAAAATGTTCACAGAAAAAAAAAACAGATCATTGTAATATCAATACTGTCTTTTTTATATTTAACCTACATAAATCATGTTTAACAGATTAATAAAATTGAAGTGTATAATTGTTTGTACGATTTTAACAAGTTTTTAAAAGAAATATTTTATAACAATTCAATATAGAATATTATTTTAAACTTTAATATTTTTATTACACAATCTTAAAATGTCTGGAATGAAATCTTTTTAAAGAGTGTTAGCCAATTTTTGGATGAGGGGAATATAGGATCATTATAGAACTTGGAAACATAGTATGAGGATTTAATGATTCAACAGAAACATTTAGATTGGAAGGTTCTGAGCCCCAGAGCTGGTTTTGTAGGTCCATATGAGTTTAAGTAGGGTTTTGTATATAAGTATTCTGTTTTGAGGTAAGAACACAGTTTAAGATAGTCTAGACTCTAGTTTACTATCTTAAATTGTGGGTAAGAAGGAATTTAATGCCTATAATGAGGGGCGAACGATGAACCCCAATCATGATGTATTATATGTGTTTATAAATATTTTTTATATATTTTTGTTTATTGATTATATGTAACAATAAATATATATATTAATTTTTCTTCTTAAATTTATCTGAAAATAGTTAAATATATTTATTACTTATTTATTATTTTGTATTTATTAGGTGAAATAGGTAAAGATTATAAATGCATGCGACAGTTCCACTCAGAATCTAGTACTGAATTATTTATTTTTGTATTCGCTGTCGACATTGACCAGCCAAACCAAATTTTCCATAACTATATATAAAATATGTTATTCTATTTAATTTAAAATACAAATAATTACTTTGTATTTTCAATAAGTTTTGAACTATTTTCGAAAATTATTACTGGTTGTGTAACTTCTCTACGGCTGTCACGTGTACAGTAATAATTATTAAAAACTGTATGATTAGGTCCTCCTGGAACATCAGGTGGAGGTTGAGTTGCTGACGAGACTTCATCAACCATTCTTATATTAGGCTTGAAATTTCTCTATAAAAACAGTAAATAAATTAGTATAACTGATAATATAACTTAAAAAAAATTATTTGTTCTAATTACTATATTATAAAATAAAGTTTACATTATTTAAAATTATACCTCAACTAAATTTATTACACCTTGTATTTCATTTTCGGTGGTAGTAAAATGATTCTGATAAGATACTTACTATCATCCATTTAGCTGACCAAAGTGTATATCAATTATTAATGGTTATTTTAAGTTAAAAAAATAGTTTTAAGGGCATCGGAGCTGGTGTTTAGTACAAAAACAAATCTTCCAGGAAAAACTCCCACGTCCAGTTGGATTTCATTAATTTTTTTTTTATTTAAAAGAAGAGAATATTTTGCTTAAACTTATAATTTAGTAGTTAAAATAAGCATTTAAATAATGCACAATATTAGTTATTTTTCAAAAGTATTTTTCTAGAACTAGGTATCGGGCAGTAGATTAGTGGAAAAGTATAATATTTATGCCAGGTAAAACAAAATATTTAATGAATCAATAGTGAGTTAATGGTCCCTTAAACAAGATTTAGTGGCCCACGATTGGTCTATTTAATTTTTAGTGAACCATTAAATCTAATAAATTGTTTATGAAAAGCATCAAGGTAGTAAATAGTAACTAAAATATAAAATATAACTTTCAAATTATTAACTGTATGAAATTCTGGAAAATATTAAAAATCGGCAACGACACATTAACAAATAACATACGTAAATGTTTACTGATAAATGTCAATTAAGAAAATTAATTCTACCTACAAAAAACAACTTTTTTGGGCGCTTAAAACAATATATCAAATAACATTTAAAACAAAACAAGAATTAATTTCTAAAAGTTGTTACTAACATCCAATACATTTTGTTGAATATATTTTTAGCAGATTGATAAATGAGATTTAATTTATTAAGTAATTATCATCATCCGTACTAAACAACAGATTCTATAATCAATTAATGACTGCAGCTTGGAAGAGTTTGTAACTTTCTAACTTGGTAATTTATTATTTGATTAAATTGTTGAAATATTTAAGAAATATGCTTAACATTGAAACAACAGTTTTCTAGGAAACTTAAAACCAGTACATATACGCTACGAGAAGTTTTGTTTAAATCAATTTTTAAATAGTCTTTAGGTAGGTATTTGTTTGTTTGCATTAATTAATGCAGTGTCTATACTTACTCCACCTAAGAATGTTCGTAGAGCCGAAATGAAACCGGAGGGCTTGAATTGAGACGGTATTAAGGTATTCCAATTTGCCATTTTGTCAAAAGTCAGTATTTACACGAATGGAAAAAAATCGACTGCTGTTCACTCGTTGTCGTAGTCGTAAAATTATTTTTATGTTCGTAAATTTTTTTTTTTATCAGTCACGTTATCACAATAGTTTAAAAGTCGGTAGTACGGCAACCTTCAAGGATTAAATAAACACATGATAAACAGAGCATAATAATAATAATAATAATTGTCATGATAAAATGTGTTAAAATCATATATCTGTGGTTAAAAATATTCAGGTATATTCAAATAATATATACTAATTTATAATATTAATAGTATGTTAGTATGTTACTTAATACTTTTGCAGACTTCTCTATACTACTTAATACTTTGATAATTATAACCTTAGTACCTACAAATGTACAATGCTGGGCACCAGTGGCGTAGCCAAGGGGGGGGGGGGTCAGTGGGCCATGCCCCCCATCGGCCATATCAATGTTTTTGAATAATTTATTATATTGTACGTATGAAATAAATACGTATAAAAATTCGTTGAATTCTCTTTTGCTCTTAATCCTCATCAATTTGTTTGATAGTAATTTTTTTTTCTCATCAGTTTTTATCAAATCGGTTGTTAATATTATTGTTGTGGTGACTGGTGGGCCACCACTGCAATACCACAATATTTCCTCCCGGAACAAATTGTACAAATGTATTACCTAATGTAAAATTACTACTACAATTATTTGCAACTTTACCGGTTACATCAGCGACACCGGAAATCATATTAATTTCGACTCTTAAATTATCGAAAGATTATTTACGATCAACAATGAACGAAGAGAGACTTATTAATGGGTTAGCTATGGCAAAGATAAACAAATCCAAAAAAATCACAGAAGAAGATGTAATCAAAGTTTTTTCTTCAAAATCTCATTGGTCAAAATTAAGTTAAATTTAAATTTAATTACAATAAAATAAAAATGTGAACTGTTATTGTTAATTGTTGATTTTGTTTTTTGGTATTTTGGGTTTGCCCCCCCCCCATTTTAAAATCCTGGTTGCGCCACTGCTGGGCACTAACTGGTTAGAAAGTTATAAGTTACATTAATTCTGAATAACTTAACTGGTTAGGCATTTCCGATTCCGTTTAGTAGCTTCTTTGAGTACCTATTAATTACCTAGCTATATTTTTCCTGTAAATATTGAGTAAGTACCTAAAACAATTATTTAAGAAAAAATCGTAGTTTTTCAAAAGTTTATTCTAATAAATATTCTTAAATATAAAATAATGTACAAAATTCCTCAAATCCCGATGATTCGAAATTCAAAATTTCTAACAAACACTTATTAAAATTTAATCAATATGTATGAAAATTAATTTAATATCATAAAACATGTAAATTATTTATTGTAATTGAATTCTGGTTTCTTTATATACAGGGCGAGGGCCGTATATTTAAGCGTTGATTTGCCCCAGGCTGCTAATTTTTGACACATTTAGTGGAGCGGCCAGGCGCCGGTGTATACTATATAATTAACATTTTTTTTTTTTGGTAAAAATTTGTTTGAGTACCTATACTTGAAGCATTGCACTAAAAAGCATTGCATCCCTATGACACTGCCATTTGGTTTTATTTACTCATTTTGTCAATCAATGATAACTATTAATTTTTTTATTTAGATTTCAATTGTATGTTGTAATACGTTTTGACAATAATTAAAATTATGTATCATCGTGATCTGTGTTTTTAATAACATTTTCATAAATAAAGAACTACAACTAAACAATTAAAAACGGATTGATTTTTATTTTTTTAACACAGGGCGCAAAAAAGTGTAAATACGGCAATGTACAGGGCAGAGACGGATTTACACAATTGCCGCCCCTAGGCAATTTTTTGTTTGCCGCCCCATTAAACTTATCAACGAGAAAACGAATTTTTAAATACTCATTTAACATAAGTACTAAAAAAATAAATCATAAAGACTGATACTAAACAATAATTAATGGCAGTTATGTTAACAAACTGTTCTAATAAAATGTGTTTATAAAATATAGTGTTTATTTACCAGTAATTTAAGTAGTATACTAATAAGTAATAACCAAATATGAAGTCTATCCGCCTTGAATGTTGTGTTGAAAATAATCGAATGTCTAATCAGAATAAACCTATTTATTTTTACTCGGCCGCCCTCTATTTCATAGTTCCGAAGAAAAATAAACAATTATTACATAATTTTATCTTTTGGATAGAAAAAGTTTTATTTTTGTACACATAATGCATAGTACGTACGAGTATATTATATAAAAATATTCACTGTGACTGGTTTATAATTAGACTATCGTTCCAATACGAATCGATCGTCACCCTTAATCCTTATTCGTATTAAATATATCATATCTGTATGTATTGTGCGTGTAGTGTGTGTACGCCGTGCGATCAAACGAACCACGAGCGATTATTAATAATTATTACGTCTTAGCAAAAAAACAAATTAACGAAATATGTTATCCATGTTTAGTATTTAGATAATAGATCTACGTTCCGGCAGTCGTTAGATAATTTACTTGGACGTTTATTGTTATGTATTATAAAATAAAGAAGAAATTATATTAACAAGAATATTATTATACTTAAATATTAAACATTTTTTCCCATCCTTTAGAGTAATCGCCGTACATTAGAAAATCAAAAAGAAACTTAGAGTATTCTCAATAAAATATTGACCTAAAATTGCCGCCCCTACAAATTTGCCGCCCTAGGCAACTGCCTACTTTGCCTGACGCTAAATCCGCCACTGGTACAGGGTATAACAAATGAAATAACTTTTGTTCTACACAATATTCTTAAATTGTTTATATATATATATATATTTATATGTATATAATTTATAGTGTCTTGCCCTGTATTTATATTAGAAAACATATTGTTTTTATTTTTGAATATTGAAAACCTACCTAGTACCTATATTCTGCAATTAGGACCTACCCATTAAACATTTTAGATTCTGAGTGAAACGATGAATGTATTGATTTTACAATGAAGTGTGTTTTTTTTTAAATTTATTTTTTAAATTTTTTATTTTTGTGTCTGTGTACACGATTAGTAGTCGAAATAATGCTTCGATTTTCAACTTCAGTAACTTATTCGATGGGAAAGTGAATCTAGTTGGTACTTGTAGGAGGTCAAAATTTAAAATTCCCAATAGTTTTCACAAGCGACAAGATTAACAAAAGAAAAATTAAGGAAAAACGGGAATTTTTACGCAAAATCGATTTTTCACGATTTGGTTTTTGGTGTAACTTTAAAACAAACGACCGTAGACACTTGAAATTTTCACTGGTTGTTTATATTTGCATTTTCTATACACTATAACATTTTCAAAATATTTTGATTTATTTTGAACTGTTTAGGGACATTTTCATTTAAATTTTTTTTTTTTTTTTTCTAAAGATATCAATAAAATTTTATTTGTTGGCTGAAAAAGCTTGAAAATTTAATAGAAGGCTTATAGTATACTGTTCCAAAGGCAGATGAAAAATATTAAAAATCCTTAGTCACAGTTTTTTCTTCTAAGCATTTAAAGTTCACCAATTGACAAAATATGGAAAAATCACGAAAATTAGCAAATTATTTTGAGTTAAAAATTCGTAAAATTTTTTTTTTAAATCTAAGGTTTTAAAATGTAACACAAGATTCCACATAAGTTTGTCTACCTTTATCAAAAAAAAAAAATGTCTATAAGAAAGTCAAATTAAATTTTTATGAGCGTTTTAAATTCAAATTTTTACAACATTGGATATTCACTCGATTTCTCATGTAGCGATTTCCTTATTTTGTTGTAATTCAAAAACGAATAACTGTAGATACATGAAAATTTCACTGAATGTTTATATTAGCATTTCCTATACACCATACAATTTTGAAAATATTTTGACTTTTTTTGAGCTGTTTACGGACATTTACAGCTTTAAATTTTTTTTAGTTTTTTTTTCTATAAATATCAATAAAGTTTTATCTGTTGGGCCAAAAAGTGTACAAATTTAATACAAGGCTCCTGATATATTGTTACAATAGCAATTGAAAAATATCAAAAATACATAGGCACAATTTCTTTTTATAAGCATTTAAAGATCGAATTTTAACAAAATTTATCAAAATTAATCGAAAATTATCATTCATTGTAATTAATAAATTATAAAATTTTTAGTTTTTATAGCTAAGGATTGCAAATTTAAAACAAAGGTTCTCATAAATAGGTCATACTGTAACCAAAAAATCTAAAAAATATATGAACACAGTTATTTTTTACAGACATTTTAAATTCAAATTTGGACGAAATTACATAAAAAAAAACCTAGAATAACTATTTTAGTTATTTTGTTGTGATTGAATAATATTATTCGTGGGTACTTGAAACTTCTAAAGTGTACTATTATATTCTATGATAGTAACACGGTTTTTGTTGATGTAGGTATAACGCGTTATAAGTACTTAATGGATATTGTGATATGATTAATTTGGAATTTATTATAGGTATATACCTATTATAGGTCAATTTTTTGTTTAATACCATGGATAAGTACCTATATAATATGTCTTATACCTAAACTGACATACCGTCTCCTCTCAGAATCGTTTTTCTTATACAATGATATAATTCAATCTAAGATTTGAAAATGTAATACAAGATTATTCATAAGTTTGTCTACCTTTATCAATAAAAAAATCTCTACCGGAACGTCTAATTAAATTTCTATCAGCGTTTGAAATTCAAATGTTTACACTATTTAATATTCACTCGATTTATCGTGTAGCAATTTCCTTATTTTGTTGTAATTCAAAAATGAATAACTGTAGTTATATGAACATTTCACTGAATGTTTATATTAGCATTTCCTACAAATTTTTCAAATTTTAAATTGAATAATTATTTTGTAGTTAAAAATTTATAAAATGTTCAACTTTTATATCTAAGAATTGAAAATTTAAAATAAGATTAAGTATATAATATGTCTTAAACCTAGACTGACATAC